CTTCTTCTTCTTCTTCTTCTTCTTCTTCTTCTTCTTCTTCTTCTGAATTGGCTTTTAACTAAACGTATTTTTAGCTGCTGAAAAAGCCACGCCTCGTCATGATAAAACTTTGCCGCTGATTTTCGATACCCTCATAAGTTCAACTGCAGTGTAAAAAAGGCACAAGCATACTTTCATGTACGCGATCGGTAGCTCATTATTTCGTCTCCAAGACCTAAGCTTAAAAATAGGTAGATATAGCTTTAAAATCATTTTGTACTTCATAATATCTTAGAACATGGATCTGCAGTTATAGATACGCCTGGATTTCCAAACTTTGTGCTGTATAATTTATGTATAGAGGAAAACATATCTTTCGTCAGGCTGCCAAGAAAATTTCATACAGGATTAAACGTTTTGCCATTAATGTACACTATATTATACAATTCATAAGTAACATTGGAAAACCGATGGTTTATAAACCGTTCAAATTCTAAAATATTTCATTATCACAAACTTCCTTTACCAAAAAGGTACATTTTTCTTAGAGTATAAAACTTGAAGAAGAGGAAATTTGCTATAAAATTAGTCGAAGAGAATATCTGAATGTACGATATTTTAAAAAAGTATAGTTGCATTTTTGGCGGCATTGAAGATCAGTGAACAAATGCATATTCCTAAAGTCGTCATGTATTATTATAGAATATAATTTTACAGCTGGCCGGAAAGAAACATTCAACAGCAGGCATCCCGTCGTAAGTAAAAATCTTGGGATTATGCTGCATTATAATCAGTGTTACGAACCCCGTCTATTTAATCCTTTGCGATCGAAAATACATTTCAGAATTTGGTTTAACATTTCGGGAGGTAGACCAAATACTGTTGTCTTTTGTGTTTAATGCTCTTGTCTCGTAACAATGTCCTTGCTTTACAAATCGCCCTCCGGGATAACCATTTCCTCTCTTCCCATTCCTATACTGGAGAACAGATTCAATATATACCACCACCATTATTTCCGCGTAAAGATTAATGCTGTTGTCAAACTCACCGGATTTAAATCTTAATCTACGTTTGTGTAGGACATAGAATAAATTGGCTTTCTAGAATCCAGATTCTTATTTCCTATGGTTTACTTCAAACAGACCACGACGCACTCCGTGTAGTTCAAAGGGAACTCAAACTAGATCTACCCATTACACTTCCAAACGATGACTCGCTATGTTCGAAACGCAAAGCCCACGCTGTGTTGGTCGAAGCCTCCTCCATTAACGAAGGTTATGCAGCCAAGCTGATGAACGCTTTCACGGCAAAAGCCAAGAACACCGACCTCTGCCATACAGGAGTGATTTCTGCAAATCTAAGACAAACTGAGGTAAGAGTTTCACCAGGCAGGCGCTTTTTCCGTTTAAAAAAATACAGAATTCCAAGTAAGGAAAGAGATATAGATTAGTGAGGGAGA